CGAGCCTGTATCTGTACACGGAAGGTAAAATGTAGCTGCCGTAGCTAAAAGCTGCACGTGGCAACTAAATTTCAGCAAACCGTTCGCTGTGGTTCGGACATTTATAATTGCGACAGCAAAATAATTTTAGCAAACCACATGATTAGCTGCGGTAACGAAAATGTTTCTTTCAGTGAAGGCGCTCTTTTACGACTTCTTGAAACTCGGGTGATTCTTATCAAACCTTAGAACGATTAATAACCGGGCGCAAACGTGTGAGACGAAGACAGGGGGGAGAAAGAGAGGAAAAGAGCGATTGCCGAACGCAAAGTTTCGAAAGTACATTTTCTTCTTTCTATTACTTTACCGTCTATTCGTTGGAAGAATAAAATCACATTTTCGCCGTGGGTATTCGTATCTTCGCACTCTTACGTAACAACTTGCGCAAGTTACCGTTGCACAAAATTTTTCTAGCGCACGCACGTCGTACCACTTCGAAGTGCATCACATACGTCGCGCCAACAAGTTTGCGCAACAGTCTTTGTTGTGTATGGGCCACTTCGCTCCTTTCACTCTCAAACCACGGGGGCACCGAAGGGTTAATGACCATCGATGATGACTCCCGAAGATAAAACTTATATCTTTTAGGCACGACGAGACCGGCCGAACCGTCGTCGTTGCGAAACCGACGTCAGGCGTTCACCGGTCGCGCCGCGTCTCTTCGTCTACCTCGGCCGTTCCGCAAGACCTCGTGGGTGGAATTAAAGTGGAACGATGACCCAAATCTGATGGAGATTGGTTAAAATGTCGTCAACATGCAAAAGAGAGCAAAAAAATGTGCGGTGCGTTAATCGCGATAAATTGCGCGTAACGTGGATGCGTTTGATATTTCGTTTTGCGAAATGTATCTTATCGTTTGAAAGCGTGGATTTTAATTCGCAGCATTTTTCACGTCGCAAAGACGTTCCTGCTGACGAAGTAGGTAGGAACAGTCTATCCTTTGTCCCGTCGCTCAAAGGCCATTTCGATTTACGTATTCATTGCGGACACAATGTCCGTTATGGCCCAGTTGGAAAGCCGACGCTTTTGGAGAACTTTCTCCTTCGATCGGACAGTTCTTATTTTTGATTCACCTCGCGCACGATGGTCGTTAATGGAAATTCCTATTTGCGAGACGTAGTAACCGATCTGAAAACGATGCTTATCGCATCGTTTAGTGCTCCATGTTAATGTATCGGCGTTAACGTAGCGGTATTTATATCAAATGGCATTAATATACCGGTCTGATGATTGAACGTACAAAGATACTTTTTGCTTCAGATATTATCTTAACCGATGTACTGATTGGCGATAATCTATCGGGTAGAAGTGACTCGACCTAATTGAAAATAAACGATGCTCTCCGAGTCGAGGAGATACGATCTCCCGTGCGTGCCGCTCGTCTCTATGCTCCTCTCTCTTGCGCCACAGAGAGAAATTAATTGCTTGGAGAAAGGTGATCCTCAGCTATGCGCTGTGTAAAAGAAAAAGGGCTAAATCCGCGATGACTCCGCGAGACGATGGCCCGCGCATTGATGATTCATAGAGGAATTCGTGCTTCGGGTGTTTGCGAACCACCAGAGTCCGGTTATGACGACTGAGCTAATGCGCGAAAGATCGGTATTTATTTTTTCGAAGCGCATAAAATCTAGAGCAAACTAACGAACCCGATGATTTAATATTACTTGAATTCTTGGAATGAATCGCAACGAGGAAAAATGATCCGCACAGATAACAACGGAGAGAGAGTGATAATTAAAAAGCATGTTTGCAGCGATTTCGGTCTTCTTAATGTAATTGAAATGTCACGTATCGCGGGGATTATAACGAGGCTCCGGCTTTCTTTGCGTAGCTGCGGGACTTGGCCGTTAAAGACACTTCCTGCTCCTTTCGCGCTATCTTTATTGCGCTTTTATGAACGCAAATTGCTACACGATAAACTTGATTAAAATTATTTCGCCGGGCTGTATGTATATATATATAACCGATGAAAGTAATCGGCCGCGGTTTCACGGACACGGCCGTGCAAACAAACGCTTTCACGAAGACCGCGAAATATCTCTTGAATTTCCGTTGTTTCCTCAATCAGAAACGAACAATTCATTTCAGAGTCGTAAGGATTACGGTGCTTGAATTTTCAGTTCACGCCGCACGATAGAAACGTAAAGATTAGACGAACTTTCACGTCGAGCCGTGTCGAGATACGAATTGTTTTTCACCGGGCCTCGAGGAAATATCTGCAAGTCTCTCAAACGTGATTCTTTGTTACGTCTCACTGAAATTGCACGTTACGTTCGGCGGCGTAATTAGTTTTACAACTTTCCGAATAATTCTGCTGCGTAATGGTCATCGGGTATTACAAAGCTACGAACAATGTGGCGCTCGTCGTCGCGCCGGTGATGGATCTTAAGGGGAATTTGATCTAAAATCTCGGTCTGAGCAATGTGTAGCTAATAAAATTGCTGCCTTTTCGTTAAAGTTGCAAATTGATTGGCTATAAATTTCCCGGACCGAGTGGAACTTGGAATTGAAAATGTCGACAATTGACGTTTTTTAATTCCGCCTCCTATCTTATCGACACTGATCAAGTTCGCCAGCGGCTTTTAAGGATCCCCTTAAGTCAATTTCAGAATAGATTGGAAGGCGCGAAGGCGGAAATTTGGTCGCGCGTTCATGCGTATGTCATTGCGCGAAGCCGTCCACGATCATTGCATTAATCTCTGACGTCTCTCACGTTCATGCATATAATATTAGTGCGCGTGCACGTCGCTTTCACTGCTGTCGGTGTAACCTTTCCGAACGCTTCTTGCGGCAGCGTGTCCGTGAAATTTGCACCTATGTCATTATGCCTGAAATCTCTCTCCCGTTCAATTTTTTCATTGACCCTAAAGAGCACAAGTAATTTTGCCAGGCAAATGGCAGCGCGACGGAGAGTCTTCTCTTTAAGAAGCGTGTAACATTTTATGCTTGCACCTTTTCTGGACTTTCGTCTTTCTTTAATATTTCTTTAATACCTCCCCGAGAGAGGAACGTTGTAATATAACGCGCTCGCCTGTTCTCAACTTTCTGGTGTGCAATATTTTGCTTATCACCGTCACATGTGAGATAACTCGCTATTAACGTATCGGCGTTTTCATAAGTTTTTAAAAAGTTCAAGGTGACGATAAGTCCACTCTTGAAATTACAGGAGAGATTAAGACAAAGATATAATTGAGCGATTATTTTCCTAAAAGTCTAAACTAATGTTTACTGTGCTTGACAACGTACGCGTGTGTAAAGGAAAAAGCCAGTAAATATTCCAAAATATATTCCCGACCCATAATTTAAATAAAACCGCTCGTGGAGGTGCAAATTTTTGCGCAAATAGATTTGAACGCTACCTCGGTCCGCTCCCGAGCAAAGTGCCTAAGTGAAAATGGACGTCGGTGGTCAAACCGACGTTTGGAGAATACATTTCAAAATTACGCCGCCGATGACCTCGGTATGCTAATTTGGCAAGATTAAGATATCTTGCCTCGTTAACTAATTTGTTGCATCAAGCGAGCTGTGGTACGCCGTGAATGCATTATCGGAGAAACAATGGCGCAAGACAACGGTGAGAATCGATCGAAGTGGTTTAACTGTTTATGGATAATCGTCTTTCCCTCGAGTTAAACAATTATGTTACGCAAGCTATTCTTGGTAATTAATAACAGGGAAGCCAAGAGAGAAAGAGAAAAAGGTAGTAATATAACACGGAAAAAAAAAGTTGCTACCGTATCTAAAAACTCCGCGCAATAACTAAGTTTCAATTGTAAAATATGGAGTTTATAGAATTAAAATGAAATTTAAGAAATTAAAAATTTTCTACTCTTTGATATTTAATAAATACTTAAATTAAAGAAATGCGCGTTTTAATTTGTTTATTATTTTTTAACTTAAGTTAATAAGCTATTAGGAGCCACCGAATGAATAATTTTCTTGAGTAAAGTAATATTTCTTTTGGATTAAGATATCTTTTTGCCAGCCTACTGTGCCTATCGTATTGGGTGCGGCAGCAAACCGTTTGCTGTGACTTAGAAATTTATATTTACGGCAGCAACTTATTTTTAGTAAACCATGATGAGCTGTGGTAGCGAAAAATTTGTTCAGTAAAGTCGCGCATTTATTTAATGTTGATTAATTTCATATAGGCAACGGCCAATGGACATCGACCATTACACGTTAATTGAATGATTTATTAAGTCTCGCTGGATTTACCGCGGTAGAATTGTCAATGAAGTGTTCGGTAATACTTCTGTGACACACATTTTAAGGATTAACACCGGCATTTCTAATTTCCGAGAGGTAAATTCGAGTCGCGAACGTGTGCATATTTGAACGACGTATCGCGTGGATTTTTGTCGTCAGTGGTAATCAACCAAGGGGAATTTAAAAAATCGACCAAACCAGCAAAAATAACGCTTATTTTAGTAATAAAGGGGTCGAAACGTCGCGATGAAAAATAGACGTTATTTTTGCCAGTTTGGTCGATTTTTTGGAAAAATTCCTTGGTAAAAGACGTTATGTAGATTGGTCGTTTTAAAAGAAAGAAAATTGTAGTTTCTACAGATGACATTCGTTAAATTGATTTTGCATTAAAATTCATCAATTATTTGTCTTTTCAGTCGTAAATATTTAACTTGATTCTCTCGCTCAACCGAGTTTTAACTTTAACACTTTAATGCTAAAATAAATTTTATCGCGTTATCGAATTATTTATCTACGTTAGAGTCGTTAAAATATTGCTTACCGATAAAACTGGTCCATCGTAATATCCAAAGAGCCAGAAAAAGTTTGCCAATCATCTCACGTCTCTGTGGACAATCCCGGAAACCTCTTTAAAAGTCCACCATCATCGTGGATGGTTAGAAACCCATCGTTCCACGGTAAATCGCATTGGGAGGACACGAAAACAAATCAAACTTGCATCCTGTGGCTTTAACTTGGCGATAGAGCCGGCAAGAAGACTCGTGTGTGTTAAAAGGAGGCTCGTTGCTTTCTTCGATCTGGATAATTATTCCTCGGCCGGTCGCTCGTCCGCCTTTTCCAGTGACACTAAGAAATCGGCCATTGACGGGAATTCGTTCGATTGTTCTTAAGTGATAGTTCTAGGTCGCGCGATTAACGCAAGAAAATTAAATCGCGTGGCGCGAGCGATTTCCTCATCATGGGCGTTTATTTTCCTGGCCAGAGCGAATCGTGATAGAGGCAGGAAATGGCGCTACATCGCGGCTTGTTGACTCGATCAGCCGTCTGCTTTCTCCGCCGCGAAAGAAATCGGTCTCCGAATTCGCTTCTTGCGCAAGTTCGCTGTTATTACTGGCGTACTGACATATCCGCGACCAGCGCACGTCACTGCGCGAGCAAGCGGATCTTCACGTTTCTCCACAGCCCCTCAGCCCCGAAAGTGGACGAGAGTCACATCGGTCGGGCCTTCCGCTTCCCCCCCTTTTTTTTCTACCAAATTTCAACGCGATCGAACGTCCGTCTGAAATTGATCTCTCGAAAAACGGCGTGGCGCACGCGACGTGATTTTTTTCTTTTAACGGTACGACGCTCGTGCGCGCCGAAACGAGGAGAGAGCGAAGCCGACGTGTGCTGTGTGTACGCGAGCGAGGCCTGCAGGAGCACGAGAGTTGCTGCTGCCTCGTGGCCTACTATAACAGAACTGACTCCCACCGTGGCGTTACGCCGTCTCTTTACCTGTCACGAGCGACGAACGGTGTTTAAAAGCGACGACGACCGGTACCTCCACTTCACGGGCTCTCCTCCACCGCCACGCGAGGACGACTACACCGGAGGATCGTATTTCAGATTAGAAAGAATGCTCTTGAGGGTGCAGAAAATGGTGAAGAAATACAAATCCAAGCCCCCTAGATACTGAATAAACAACTGGGGATCAGAATGTTAACTTCTCCGACATTCAGGAAATCGAACCGAGAATCTTACACGCGCAGCAAACGTTAGAAACTGATACGTTGACACACTGAGATAGTATACTTCGACGCTGAAGTTCGCTATAGCTTGAAAAAGTGGCGTGGCACGAATGGTTGGCACAAACAGATATAAAGCGTTAAAAGGAAATATACTTCCTTTTTTATTTCAGAAGTTATTCGAAAACATCTTGATTAAAAATTCACGACCAGTTGCGATGCAGGAGCTGAACAGCGTTCGATAACTCCGATAGGCATAATTAATTGGCGGAAATCGGGTTGGGAAATAGATATTAAGCAACGCAAAATAAATAGGGCAAATAATTCGGAAGCTCGCCGTATCGTAATTTATTGTACCTTCCTTTATCTTCGTTTCTTGTCAATGTAATTATTGGAAAGCTGATGATAAGAGTTGAATTGATTAATCAATGTACAATTGCGGACACGCATTATAAGATTACACATACAAGATTACAAGATCACAAAATGAGGATACGCGGCAACATTTCAGCGATTAACCGTGCAAAACTGTGAGAACCTAGTTTTTACATTTGCGGCGCATTAGAAGAATTTCACAAGATAACAATATAATGGTTACGTGTACAGAACAATTCATATTCGTGCAATTATAAATTTTTTTTACAATTTAATCGCCGACATTTGACATGTCGAGATATGCAGCGGATAATTATGCGAGAGAAATAATTCATTTGCAATAATATAATGTAAAAATTACAAATCCCTCTCTCTCATCCTGCTTCACCTTGAAACACTTACACTAGATTCTTAATAAGCACGTCGCAATTATTTTAATATGCTTAATACTTTGCAAATGTCTCTTAGGGCAACTTTAACCAACTCCGATTAACTTTAATCGACGCTTAACCTAATCAACAGTGTCGCCAACATGAAGACTTGTTGTGTGTGCGTATCGTTCTTAACCTATCTCTTAGTAACCTGTTGTTTGACGTAACAATTTAACAATTTCATCTATGTTAATGCTGTTGTATGTTTTCAAGAAAGGCATTTTAATTTAATACGTAAAATCACAATTATACCATGCATCTAAACGATTAAGATCGACACACACAACAAGTCTTCATGTTGTCGACACTGCTGATTAAGTAATCGTCGATTAAAGTTGGTCAAAGTTGGTTAAAGTGGCCGTTAAAGTGGCTCCTGCACGAAGGAACGGTTAGTACAGGTGCTTTGGTGGGGCCCCCTTTAATTTTTATAAATTCATATGACTTTTTTCATAAAAAAATATTACTTAATGCATTATTGATCAAATGCATTGATATGCTAGGTTATATATGCACATTTAAAAACATATTTAAAAAGATGTGATACTGTCAAGTCTCAAAGAGCTGTCAAATTTCCTCAAAACATTGTATCTTTTCATTTTACCCAATCAGCAGACAATGTTTTAAAAATATTTTTTAAATATTTTTAAAACATTTAAATGTTTTAAAAATATTTAAAAAATATTTTTAAAACATTGTCTGCTGATTGGGTACTAATAAGTATTTGCTTGCAGATGTCGGTAACCTCATATACTTAATAGCACATTCGAATCCGTGTGACATTTATCTCGTTTTTTGTTAAGATCTACTGTTTTTTTTTTATAAAATAATATAATATTAGCCCTCAAAGTGCTTTTGCGAGCGATCGGCCCATAGCCCCCATCCCAGCGAACACCAAGTAACAGTTACGCAATATCAATATTATAATTGCCTACTTAACAATGTAAATGTAACATAACATGGGTGATATATTACATTTATCTTGCTGAGTAGGAAATTATAATATCGATGTTATGCAACTGTTACTTGGTGTTTGCTGGAATGTTAAAGAATACAACTTTAATATTTTTTCTCTATTTTATTTCATCGGCGACCGGGTCTGAAATTTTGCGCACTGATAGATACAATTTACAACTAGAACATACTTCAATTTCTATTTTTTCTACTTTTAGTTGGTTTATGCAGGAGCCACCTTAATACTTTACAAATGTCTCCGAGAGAGACATTTGTATAATGTATTTAGTAAATTATGGAAACGATAGTTGAAATTTCTATTGAAATATACAGGGTGTCCTAAAACCACCGGAGGTCCTCTTAATGACAGATTCCTTAGAACATTTCCAGACGAAAATCCTAATACAAAAGTGTCGAGGCTATAATAGTTTTTAAATTAGAAGCGATTATTTTCCACAAATGATAGGGCTGAAATTTCGCGCGCTCAGGAACGGCGAAATAACAAGTGATATAAGTGCTCCTATGAATATCGTTCTTTTTATATCACTTGTCATTTCGCCGTTCCTGAGCGCGCGAAATTTCAGCCCTATCATT